TGGTTTTCCCTTTCAGACGTTCCCTGGCCCAACTAGGTAGCAACATCAGTGCTAGAAGGGAGTGGGATTGGCTCTCTTGATTATATACAGTGGCTTGCTTCATCAGTACTGGGGGGAGTGTGATTCCCCCCCCTCCCCCCCCCAATGATAGTTCCTTGATTGGCCTATTGTTTTCCGCTTGAAAACAATTCTGGGAGTTGAAGTCCACAAGTCTTAAAGTTGCCAACTTTGAAGATTTCTGCCTTATAGCAATCCCAATCAAATAGTCATCCTCGTCCAGACTCTTGTTTTGACCAGAAAAGATGTTCCTGGTCTCCTTATCTTGTCTTCTCCTTCCTTCCTTCCAGGTTGTTCTGGAGCGAACGTAAAATAACCAAGGCTCGGGAATGGTTCCATCGGACCGTGAAGATCGATTCGGACTTGGGAGATGCCTGGGCGTTCTTTTATAAATTTGAGCTTCAGCACGGCACCGAGGTAAGGAAAAGGCGGTGTAACTCTAACCAGGGACTTTATGGAGAGACTGTGCTCATCGGGGAGAGCTGGCTAGGTGACTTTGGGCCAATCACCAGGAGATGGTGAGTTCTAGTCCCGCCTTAGGCATGAAAGCTAGTTGGCTGGTTTTGGGCCAGTCACCAGGTGACAATGAGTTCTAGCCCCGCCTTAGGCATGGAAGCCAGCTTGGTGACTTTGGGCCAATCACCAGGAGATGGTGAGTTCTAGTACCGCCTTATTTTGGGTAATTGGCCAAGACAGTGGGAGTTCTAGTACCGCCTTAGGCATGAAACCTAGTTGACTGACTTTGGGCCAGTCACCAGGTGACAGTGAGTTCTAGTCCCGCCTTAGGCATGGAAGCCAGCTGGGTAAACTAGCCAGTCACTCACTCATAGCCCAACCTACCTCACAGGGTGGTTGTTGTGGGGAAACTAGGAGTAGGAAGGAGTATTAGATATATTTACCCCCTTGATATTATCCGACATTATCATATATATATACTTGGTACACTTGTTTCTCTGGAAACAAATACTTTGGGGGTAAGACACCCCTAAAACCTCTCAGGGTGTAGGTTTTGTTAAGATGCAGCCTGTTGTGCCTTAAAATGGCTTCTACTGTACAGCGTAGTGGAGTTGCCATGGTAACAGCTTCAAAGTACTCCACCATGGGGCTCCCTCTGGTAATCCAACATTAGAAATTACGTTTGGTCCAGACATTTGCGCCTTATAAATAAATACCCGGGCAATGCGGGGTTATCAACTAGTTACCTTATAAAGTAATAAAGGCAGGATAAAAATACAATTGCAAACATTATAAAACCCCGTACGGATAAAACAAGCTCCGCCCCCCCTTTCTTTCATGCCGATGCAGGAACAGCAGGAAGAGGCGAGGAAGCGTTGCGAGAACGCCGAGCCGCGGCACGGGGAGCTCTGGTGCGAGGTCTCCAAGGACATCAGCAATTGGCAGAGCAAGATTGGCGAGATCCTGCTGCTAGTGGCCGCCAAGATCAAGAACACCTTCTAGGAAGAGGAGAGCCGCGGGATCAAAGGAGGCCTTGGGCCAAAAGGACCCTTCTTGGCTCTCCCCTCCTGCCCACAGCATCGGCCGAGAGAGAGAGCTGGGTAGCCTATTTGCCCCAGGCCATGTGCCACCCTGACAGCTGGACAACAGACTGCCTGGGAAATGTTTTGTATAGCAGCTTCGCCCTTCTTGAGAGCGAACACCAGGAACTCAATGGTCCCAGCTGACAGGCAGATGTTTCCCCTGCTGTCTGAAGTCCCCAGATGTTTGTTTGTTTTTCTCCCAATTCCTTTGAAAAGCTTCTGGCCGGTGGGCCCTCCCAGGGACCCAGAATGTTTTCTAATATTCAGCTTGCCTACTTAAATTCACAGTCTGCTTCTCCCCTCCTCCTCCTCTCCCTCCTCCTCCTCCTCTTCTTCTTCCCCCCTCCTGTTCTTCCTCCTCCGCCTCCTCTCCTTCTTGTTTTCCTCCTCCCCTCCTCTTCTTTTTCCTCCTCTTTCTCCTCCTCCTCTTCTTCCTCCTCTTCCTCCTTCTCTTCTTCTTCTCCTCTTCTTCCTCTTCTTTTTCTTCCTCTTCCTCCTCTTCCTCCCCCTCTTCCTCCTCCTCCTCCTCTCCCTCCTCCTCCTCTCCCTCCTCCTCCTCCTCTTCTTCCCCCCTCCTGTTCTTCCTCCTCTGCCTCCTCTCCTTCTTGTTCTCCTCCTTCTCTTCCTCCCCTCTTCTTCCTCCTCCTCCCCCTCCTCCTCCTCTTCTTCCTCCTCCTCCTCTTCTTCCTCTTTTTCTTCCTCCTCCTCCTCTTCTTCCTTCCTCCCCCTCTTCCTCCTCCTTTTCTCGTTCTCCCCCTCTCTCTCCTCGCTATTTAAAGAGCGCCATCTATTTTTCTACCAGGAAAAAAAACAAAAACCCGCTGGGGGTTTAAAACCCCATTTTTTGTGTGCCCCATTCATTCTTCTATAGGAATCTTCTGCTAGGCATTGTATCTTCGAGAAGAGGACCAAGAACGGAGTCCCCAAACCCCCCCCCCCCCGACCGGTTAGAAAGCGGCATGTCATTCGAAACTCTGGTTGGAGGGAAAGTGGGATTGAGAACCAGGCCGGGGAAGCTTTCCAAGGCCATCTTGTCAAAAGGCTTTTTTTGGGGGGGGGGGAATTGAAATAAGGTACCGTTCTCACGGGTTGCTCCCCCTCCCCCTTCTCTCTCTGGAAGTTTTTTTNGGGAAGCTCCTGAAGTCTCCGGAGGGCCTCCAGGGTGGCGGCGAGGCTGTTTTCGCCCTCCCCAGGCTCCTAGAAAGCCTCCGGAGCCTGGGGAGAGCGAAAAAAAGTGCCCATGGACAACTGCCCCTGCACTCCCGTCTTAAGCTTCCGTCTTTGGCACGCGAGCCAAACAAGGTTAACCATTGCTGACCTAGGCCTTGAGTTGCTCACCATGTTCAGCGTTCAAGAAAGGGAGCCTGCTGGAGCTGGGTTTTCTGCTGAGCTGCTTTGCTGCTGATGCATAATTGATGCCGTCTGCTCATTCTGGAGATTGCAGCAAGCCATAAATGATGAAAGACCGAATGTGTGGCGTGCCCTGCCCTCCATAAAAGAAATGTAGCTTACGACAGTGATTGGCAATTGGCTGCGTTTCAAGGGACGATCCTTGGCATGGACGTCAGCGGACACATATGCCATTCGTCGGGGGGGTGGGTGGGGAGGGAATAAATCCCAATAGAGGCAGTCCTCGACTTGCGACCACGGTTGACCTCCAAATTTACATTGCTAAGTGAGACGTCTGTCAAGTGAGTTTTGCCCCCTTTTCACCACCTTTCTTGCCACTGTCGTTAAGCGAATCGCGGCAGTGGTTAAATTAGTAAGGCCGTCGTTAAGTGAATCTGGTTCCCCCGTTGACTTCGCTTGTCAGAAGGCCGCCCAAGGGGATCCCGTGACTCCGGGGACACTGCAACCGTCATAAACGTGAGTCAGTTGCCGAGCCTGTGAATGTAAATTACGTGACCATGGGGAAGGGGATGTTGCAATGGTCATAGGGGGGGAAAGTGGTCATAAGTCACTTTTTTCAGGGCCGTTGTGACTTTGAACCGTCCCTAAACGAACTGTTGTAAGTTGTGTACTACGGCTACAATTTGAAATCTTTCCAGGGCAATAAAAGCTATGTAAGTTGGCTACTGAAGTACTTTCCAGGGAAAATATATACCTCAGANGGATAATAAGCCCAATTGGACTTTTGAGTGCATGTGCTAAAATAAGCCCTCCCCGAAAATAAGCCCTCCCCTATAATATCTAAACGCATGCAAAGCCAATCCCCACCATTTCCTGGGGGGGCACGACATGCCCCACGAGCCCCGCATACACCTGCCATCCTTGCGGATCTGTCCCATCTCAGCCATCATCTATTTGGAGCAAATGCGGGACTTTGTAAAAGTAAGGGGAAAAAATGCATATGGGAGAGGCCTTCTTCATATTCATGCTTGAGAAAAGAACCCTTAGTAAGAGTTCAGATGGGTGAAAAATGATCAGCGGGTAATCCCAAGGAAACATTTACTGACGACTCGGTTCTTAGTGATCTTTGAACAATGGAGAAAAAGATGGAACACCCAAGAATGAAGGAGAACGGAACGGAATGGAAACGGAACGTGATCAACTGACCAAAACAGTTGTCCGGGTCTCACCGTGGTATATTTTGTTAGGACACTCAAAATTACTTCCTGAGGTGGACCTTCCAGATAGTTCTTCTTTGTCCTCTTGTTTTAAACTGAGGATCAGTTGTGGTAAGGTTCTTCAGAAGTCACACCTTGTCCTCAGTAAGTTGAAATGGCGTCTGAAATCTTCAGCCAAAGTTCCTCCTTCTCCTCCTCACTTTTGGAAGAGGACCTAATAGTCGTACTTGGTTGGACCTTCTGTACCCAAGAAACTCAGGAAGATCTTTTATAGGCTTCCATCTTCCTCCGTGAACCATCAACGGCTTTTCCACAGATCCGGAATAGCTGGACAGAGGTTTGGGCCAGATCTTCATGCCTACTCACTATTTCTCACAAGCTGTAGGACTGAAGAACAAAAATATTTCCTGCCCTTTCCGGCATTCAAGATAATCTCCAGTTCCTTTAAAAAAAAAAAACTGTTGGATTTATATGCTGTTTTTCTGTTCCTGAAAAACACCCCAGCAGGCTTGCTGGTGAAAACAATTCTAATATAAATGAAAGCATACATAGGTAGTCCTCGACTTATAACCATTCGTTTAGTGACCGTTCAAAGAGACAATGGCACTGAGAAAAGTTGCTTACTCGTATTTATGATGGTTGCAGTGCCCCGGGATGACATGATTCCCTTTTGCGACGGTCTGGCAAACAGCGTCAATGGAGAGAAGCCAGATTCACTTAACAACCCTGCTACTAACTTTTAACTGCACTGATTCGTTTAACAACTGTGGCGAGGAAGGTCTTAAAACGGGGCAAAACTCACTTAAACGTCTGTCTCACTTAACAACAGGAAGTTTTGGGCTCAGTTGTGGTCATAAGTCAAGGACTGCTCATTCCAAGTTTTGCAAATTAAAGCTTGGGGGGAAAAGGTCAGCATCCTGGTTTAGTGTTATGGGTGTTAAAGTCCCTGTTTGGAGGGCCCCATGTTGAGATAGGTTATCAGTGGATAAACTTTGTGACACTCGGTTTCTTTCCTTCCTGTGAGTCACTTAGTTTCTCATCCCTTACTCTCTGCTTGCATCACCCAAAGTTACTTCCTCTTTCCTCACTCACTTCTGACCATTTCTGACTGGAACAAGCAGCAAGAAGACACATATCAGGATGCCAGGAGGGAAAGAAGGGGCACCCCGATAAACTTAACGCTTAATGGTTTGTCTATAACATGGACCACAACAGTTTACAGAAGGCCAAAGTAAGTGGACTAGCATCTTATCAACAAATGAAATTCAAAATCAGAATAAAGCTGGAAGGGATGTTGGAGGTCTTCTACTCCAAGCAGGAGACCCCCATACGGAGGGGGCTGGAGGCTTCCTTGAGCGTGAAAAACCAGCCCTATGGGCACACCGGAAGTTCAGGAACGGCTCCGGGGAAGGGAGGGCAAAACCGGCCCTATGGTCAAACCGGAAGTCCGTTCCCAAACTTCCAGTTTTGCCTGTAGGGCTGGTTTTTCGCCCTTCGGAGGCTTCAGGGAAGCTCCTGAAGTCTCCGGAGGGCCTCCAGGGTGGCGGCGAGGCTGTTTTCGCCCTCCCCAGGCTCCTAGAAAGCCTCCGGAGCCT